ATGCTTCCCGGGAAGCTGAGAATGTTTCGGAGTGTTCTATGGTCTGCTGGGGTAATAATATAGTGTAAAGCGCATAGAGCCTGCTGTTGAGCGGGGATTTGCGCTATACAAATGCTATCTATTATTATTTTTATACGTGTTAGTGCACAGAGGACTGTCCCCCAGGATCCTCCCTACCCTCTCTGCTCTCAAAGAGATAACAAGCGCCGGATGATAGCTTCCGACTGTGACCTGGTAAAATGGTTATTATCTCTGTGTGGATCATGAGTTCATGCAGAGGTTGGAGGAGGCCCGGACAGAACCTACCTCCCCCCACCACCCCGCCAAAAAATGCTTTTATTATTTCTGTATGCCTGCCTGTCCTGCTTTGTTCCTGTTCTCTATAAACGGTTTGTCTGTCCAGTTTATCTATTCTTCTGTTCGTCCACTCGTGTGTACGTGAACCATCCGTAACATCCCAAACTAAAATTGCAAACCCATCCATTTATCTCCTCCCCCCCCCCCGGGTTCTATTCTCTTGTACGGTCTGCCTGCCTGTAATACCTAAAAGACCAGTGGAAGAAGGGCGCCACTGGTCAGCCTTACTTCTTCGCTCTCCCCCTAATGTTTCTGTCTTTCTGTCTTGCATTTTCCTCCTTCACTGAATAACAGAACTGAAGTTATGTCAGAGCAGTAGAAGTAGCGGACCATAATGGGACGTCTTAAGATATCCTTTCGGTGGGAATAAAATGTGAATACTGACGACATGAATACATGATTGATGTTCCTGACAGACTAATAATTCTCTTTATATCTGCTGTGCCGTGTGTAAAAACATACTATCTGTACGTTGCTGGGGCGTCAGTGTTTAGGTGGTGTTTTATATCTCAAGATATCAAACTAACAATTCGTTCGCTGCTATAAAATCAGTACATGATAAAGGCTGAAAATGAGGCTTGTAAATAAATGTCGTCGTTTTTCCCCTTAAAATTGGTTTACTTCCTTCTCGATTTTTAAAATGTTTTTATTTTTAATTTTTATTTATTTAATTTATTTATTTATTTATTTATTTATTTTTTTATTTTTTAAATTTTTGTTTGTTTGGGGGGGGTCTTTTTTTCCCTAAGTCTATTCATTCATGTACATGAGCAGCGCGTTCAAGATATTTTATGGTCTTTCAGAGGAACACATTTATTACTCCAACTTATAAAAAAAAGATAAAAGATAAGTCAACGGACAAGGGAAGTGTGTAGAGTCTGCTGTTCCTTAAAGCAACGACTTTGTCGTTTTGTCACCGTGGGTGGTTGGCGGGTGTTTTGGTATGGTTTGTTATGTCTTTCTTTTCAAACTTGTCTCATCCTTATCTCTCCTCCTATTTTGTGGTAGTTACTCTCTTGTAACACCTCTAATCTTCGGCACTGATATGACCTTGTCCTATTGCAAATGTCGTAAAAAAAAAAAAACCCTCTTACTTTTCACTGCAGATGTGAAGGGGCGGCTCAGCTGATGAGGCGAGGTCATGTGGATGATACCGTGCAGATTCGACCTACTCAAACTCTCTCTCTCTCTCTCTCTCTCTCTCTCTCTCTCTCTCTCTCTATCTCTCTCTATCTCTCTATCTCTGTCTCTCTCTATCTATCTCTGTTGTCTCTACAAACTGTTGGCTCGAGTGCTATTACCAAATATTGTCTCGTCAAGTGGGACCATAAACCTCTGTGTCACCCTGTGCTGTTGCGACACTCGAAGCGAAAGGGAGTTTCCGAGTTAGTGTGACGTAAGAGCCATGGGGAGGTCTACCTTATCAGCTGGTGGCGATAAGTGCTGTGTATACGTTCCGTCCAGAATCGTATGTGTTAGATGAGATTCTACATACCCTTTTCCCACCTTTATACCGACTGCTAGACTGTAAGACTTCATTATAGATCAACGCCATTTTGAAAAAGTGATGTTTGGCGGAGTCTTATACTGAGCAGTCAATAAAATCTCTGCCCC